TTCCCTGCACAGAATTGACTGATACTTGCCTGCTGTGCTGGGCAGCCAGTCACCCACATGCCGGGCTGTGATCCTGGCTTTGATCCTGGCTGCATGTGGACCCCTACCCACTCCTGCTGCAGCTGCCTAGAGCCTGTGGCTGGGCTGCCTTGATGCTCTACCCACTGCCCTGCATCTGGGGGACGCTTCTGCCATCTATGCCTTTCAGGCTTGCAAAGACAGTTTTACAAACACTATTATTACAAATCTTAAACCAAATTTCCTATAAAAATGCTGTTCTTAACACTGAGGCAAACTTTGACTGTTTTATTGTAACTCACCTTGAAGTAAAAATTCTTGTCTTATTAATACAGCCTTCCCTAAAGTCAACTTACGATATGGTTACTAAAGAGACCTTGTGCGTTCAGAATCATCAGTTTAAGTGGCATTGATGTTTGACAAGATCAGGAAGGCAGAAGGCAAGGTAGAGGTGCACCTTATGGACTAACTGAATAGACTATTCAGTCTATAAGGTATGCCCCTGTAACTTGCTTTCTGCCTGATTTCAGACTAACATAGCTAGCTACCTCTCTGCTCATGGGTGGTACCATGCTCAGCCATATGAAATGGACTGCAGTCAGTCTACACAAGAAACTTGCTTGGGTGGTCAGGTATCTTCTTTTCTTATTTGCGTTCTATACCAAGTACTAGTGTTACTCCACAAAGGCTCAGTCAAGTTTTATTTTCTGCTTCCATGCCTCTAAGGCCTGCCCTCATGAGTCTATGGGATACTAAAAAAGGTAGCCAGGCCCTGTACAGGCTCTCCAGTTGAAATCCTACTTTTTTCCTGTGAAGCTGCCATAGTGGAGGGAGGCAGAGGCTCCTGGAGTTCTGGCCTTGCTCCAGCCTGTGGCTGGCTGAGCATACAACTGGGTAGCTATGTTACAATGTGTAACTAGTTTACCAGAAAAAATGACCAACTCATTTTCTTTGCAAAGCTACTTATTCATAGTGATCCAGGAATGCAAAAGGTAACTCTCTCCCCCTTGCCCCCACAGTCTGTTCCTGTCACTCAGCTTGGATATGGTTTGAATGTGTAGCTCTGGTGCCTCTGTTTTGCCAGTAGCTATAATCCTATTAAAATGTTGCTAACTTAATTGTTTAAAAAAACTGCCATTCCCTAATAAGTGTAAGATGCCGCACAAAGGGCTCCTTTTTCAGAGGTACGTGTTTAACATAGTGCAACAATCGGCAGAATCATTCTGGTCCCCTTATCGCTTTCCTACTGCAGGTTTAAAGCACATCTTGTTTATTATTCTTTTGCAAACCACTGTGAGATCTTTGAAGTGGTTGGGCTTCTTGAGACATTAGGCACAGGCCTGCACCTGGTGTGAAACAGGCTGAGCAACTTTAATGTTAAACAAACAGCCATCCCAGCTGAGGACAATGTATGAGTTATTGATAATGGCAGCCAGGACATCCGCTATCCATCCAAAGCAAACTATATGTTGTCTTAGAAAAGCAGTTTGGAGCTGCACTCTCTATTCAGACCAGTCTGATGTATTTAAACAAAGACTCTATTCTTTAATCTTAAAAAAAAGGAGTCCTTTAATGTATAGGATGTGTCCAGATGTGTGATTTTCCCCCTTTTTGGGCTCTTTATGCTTTTTATTATGCCTCTGGTGCCTGCCTATGCCCTACTCTTAAAACAGTACACATCTGAGACATTCTCTTTCTTACAGTCAAATCAATACCACTTGCTGGGTAATCAAGTGAGAAGCACACTAAAGTGCTTAAAGAGCATACACCAATTCCAATAAATACCACAGGCTGTGCTATATGGATCCTTAATAATGCAGTCACTATTTTGTCTTCACAAAGAAACTTACAGCTGGTTAATAGTTTTTTTTTGTTTTCTGCTTAAAGATGAGTGAGTTTTCTCCTCTCCTCTTCTTGGCAAATGTAGTAGTTTTGACCTTAGAATCATGGTTTTTTAAAGACAAAATTTTCCCGCAGGAGCAGAATTGCTAATCAGTTTTATGATTTCTGATTCTTAAAATTAATTGGCATTAATATATATCAAATTAAATTACTGAGGTAAATCCTGATTTTTATTATTCAGACAAAACTTCACACAGGTCAATGGTGCCTGAACATGAATGTAGGGATTTAGTCCTTTGGAATCATCTTTTAATATGTTTATTATAGGGACACTTAAAACATTTGTGTCCCTATTTTGATTACACTGTCACTAGCATGATCCCACTGATTTTGAAATATGTCTCCGGTTCATATTAGTGTGAGTGAGAGAGTCAGATCCCCCATTTCTCTGGAAACAAAGGCTCACATCCCAGCAGGATAAACTCTGCCTTTGGTTATGTCCAAGCAGACACATTTAGTAACATGGGGGTCCTAAAGACGTGCACTGGAAATCCAGTGTGTTGGAGCAGATTCGATTAATTGAGCCTGCTGGAGCACAGAAATCAACACGCTCCAGCAGCCTTCTGCGTCCTGTGTATCAGCGTCCCCATGCATCCCTGCATGGAAAAAATGGTGGTGTGGCGCTCTGAAATAAAATATGTTTAAGCTTTAGTTCAAAACACCATGCTGCCATTTTTTCAGCATGGGGACATTGCTACACGACACGAGGGCACTTTTCGTTAGCGTGGCTTGCTAATTAAAGTGTCCAGTGCTATGTCCCACAGCCTGTGTAAAAATGCCCTTGGAGGTTATTCTGTAGGGAGGACTTTGCTATAGACATTTAAAAGGAAATATCTTGTTTGCTCAACATGGACGCTAAGGATCCCATGAAAATTCATACATATGAAATTGGCTCCTATTACTGTGTTCACTTGATACTAAGATGGGGTTCTCCCTCCCATTTAACATGGTGGGGGCAAGCCCCTTCATTTTAAAATCTAGTACCAACCAGGGCAGCAGGGGCCAAGTGGCAGCTGTGGCATGGGCTCCAGCCCCTACCCAGACTTGGGGCTGTGGCCACAGCTGCTGCCTGTTCCATTTTCCCCCTGCCACCTCTGTACCCCACCATCTCCCCCACTACCACTCTCTCTCTCCTCCCTCACCTGTCCCTCTCTTCCCCACCTTACCTTAGATCCATGCTGGCAGACTCCATGCACACTAGAGCCTGGGGCACTCAGCATGGGCCCCAACACAGCCCCGTAGCAGTGGTGTACAGCCCATACATCTACTACAGGGCTGGGCTGGGGCCATGTTCAGTGCCCCAGGCTAGAATGGGAACAGAACTTGCTGGCATGGAGCAAGGATATGATGTGGGGGAGCAGAGACTTGGGTAAAGGGGGCAGGAAGAGGAGCAGAAGTGGAGGAAAAATGGGTAGCCTGAAGCTACAAAGGGGCAAGCATGGGGCAGAGGTGGCAGGGGGCAAGCACAAGCAGGGAGCAATCTGCTTGACCTCCCTATATCACCTGCCCCCCACTTTCTGTCCACCTGCAGTGGTGGGGAAAGGAATGAATTAAAGATGACCCCCTCCTACTCCCAGTAATTAGGTTAAATACATGGGAAATTATAACAAATTTATATTTTTCCATGTATGGAATCTAATTGTTGGGGACTGTCTTAAATTCAGGGTCATCTTAGATTTGAGTAAATATAGTATCTTGGTTTGGAGAAAGAGAGAGGAATTATTCCATGTCCCTGTCAGATGCTCAATGACTTCTTTATTGTTACGTAAGTTAAAGAGAACTGTATAGTTTGCAAACGGTAACCAGCACCTGACAGGATCAGAGGAAAACAGGGCTGGATGGATCTCACAAAGTCATCCAGTCCAGTCCCCTGCTCAAGGCAGGATCATCCCCACAGGTCTATCTAACCTGCTTTTGAAAACTTTCAAAGATGGATGGTGCAGCACTTGGCAGTATAAGCCTGCTATGCAGGGTTGCCTGCAGTGAATTGGGTATGCTGCCAATCCTGGTTGCCAAAATAACTGTTTGCTTTATATCACTATCACTAACATTAAGTTAATGGACAAGCCTGTCCTGACAAACAGACCAGATCTCCAGCTGCTAAAAACTGGGGTAGCTCCAGTGAGGGCAAAATAGCTTTGTCAGCTTATACCTGTTAAGGATCTGCTGTATGGCTTCTGATGTTCATTGGTGTGAAAGCAGTTGGGAGTAAATGTAATTGTAATTAGCAAATGAATGACAAGATAATTTCAAAACCAAAAGTCTAATGCCAGTCCTACCTCCAGCCTGGTTCTGTCTACATCCTTAGGTAGTTTCACCCGAACTCGATTTGTTACAATAAGCGTTTCATAAGGATAGATCTGCCAGAAAGAAAAGAATTTGTGAGCTCTACTGAAATATGCATCTGCAGTGTGCAAATGTCAGTGTGTAACTTACTAGTGTAAACGGTACATACTTGTATCCATATTTGACACAAACATTTCACATGGACACAATAAGAAAAAGGAACACATTTAACCTTGCTAGGATGGGCTGAATCTGAGCTTTCTTCCAGTGTTGGAATGGCACTTCTTACCTTGTATTCTGCAAGAGAACAAGAGTTTTGATGTGTTAGAATTTGTAGGTTTATTTTACAATCAGATATGAGAATAATTAGCTGAGATGGCTTGTTCTCATGACTCTATTTCCCTTACATTTTTTCTGGGTAACTTCAGGCCTTTTCACCCTGGTGCTCTGGATGTCCCTAACTGCTGAAACCATGATTCTGGAAATTTACATCAAGAAACACATAAGATTGTTTCCTGAAGCCATGGGGTTAAATCTGTATGTCTGGTACTCCAGACATACAGGATATTCAATCTTCTCAAATGCCTTATGTGTGTGATAATTTGATCTCTTACCTAAAAATCCCTCCTTTATTTTTCTTTACTAACAATCATTAAACCTATGGATTATTACAGACACTGCATTTGGGGAACATATGAAAATCATCAAGTTAATAGAATGTTCCAAAATGCCAACACCCTACACTTGGATCAACCAAAGTGGAAATAATGATAGCACTGAAAATAGTAAGAGATTTGTCTGTGTTTTTTTTCCCCTTTTCCTAAGGCTACTGGGCCTAAACTTGCCCAAGAATATTGTAGTTAGGTCATTGTCACTAGATATGAATACCACATGGCCAGCAACTTCCATATGACTCTGATGCTTAAAAAGACAACCAAGATAGTGAGCAGACTTGTAAAAAGCTTTTATTGTTGAGGTATTTTAAATGAGAGATGAATCTACTCTTTAAAGCCATACTCTTTTCTACTTGGATGATGAGGCAAAATACAAAAATCCCCATATAGACATATAGTAAAGCCTGAGGGTGAGATTTTCAGAAGACTGTAAATGATTTAGGAGCACCGCTTCAATGGGGTCTGTGGACAGATATATCTCTCAGCTATTTTAAAAAGGGACTGGGAGTTGCTGCCTAGAAGTACATGTTGCTTTTATGATGTAACTGTCTGCATGCTCCTATATCTGTAGAAATGAGCTATATTAGTGTAATTTTAACCAAGAGTGAAACAGGAGCTTTCAGATGTAACAGTTAGTTACATAGTAACAGCTTATCTCAGTATCATACCATTCTGGTATAATTGCTACATCTGTCTTTACCAGAGGTGCTCAATCAACAGGCCGTGGGCCAGATCCAGCCCATGGCACCATGTCATCTGACCCACAGTGCTCCCCATGGGTCCAGAAATCTGACAACAGGGGGGGTGGCAGTCTTCCCTGGCTTCCAAATTTCCAGAGCCCTAGGGAGCTCAGGGCCCTGTGTGCTAGACTGGGTGCCTGATCCCAGTGCGCAGGGCCAGGTCAGGGTGGCGCTGGGCCCCAGGGCCTAATCCCAATGTGGTGGGGAGAGAGAGGGCAGCACCAGGCCCCTGGGGCCCAATCCTGGTGCGTGGGGCAGGAAGGGGGCAGTGCCAGGCCCCAGGGTCTGATCCTAGTACATGGGGCTGAATATGGCTTGAGGACTGGTCACATGTCACTGGAAAAGACCGAGTGCCACTAGCCTTTATGCACCTAAATCACCTAGTCTTTTGAAAATCCCACCCCAAGTCTATATTCCGATTCATGATCATACTAACTTCCAGTAAGGCAAATTAAAGCAGATAGGTACTACTTTTTGGCATCCTATAAAGGGTTCAGGTCCATGGTAACAGAGAGATTAAGCCGAATGTATATGTTTTTGTCATGAGTCGTCTGTTGTAAGGTTGACTGGCCTGAACTTCCTCTCTTCCTTTGCAATGAGAATATCACCAGTTACATGAGGAGAACAATGAAGGCCACTGCCAATCATGAGTGATTCTGGGCCTGACCCAATACTCCGTTACATGAGTTTTATGATGACAGGACATCACTGAAGCCCATCATTCTCAGTAAGGTAAAAATGACCATAGCAGTTGATTTTCTGCAACAGGGACATTGCTATGCTGTGCCACTGTTAACAGAATCCTTGGAGGATCTTAGATAGGTAGCTGTCGTGGCAAGATGTTAGCAAATGCCTCAAAAGTAACAAAACCATGAAGTATAGAGCATCTGATATTGTGGTGCAAAGTACCTTTCATCCCCCAACTGGCATCCTGGTCTGTTTCATATTGGCCCATATTTTCAGGCTGGAAGACAAATAAATAAAAAGTGTAGCAATAAAATACACCACCCAGGCAGCACCCACTTTGACTATAGAACACTGTAGGGAACAAGAACAATAAAAAAAGAAAACCTACCTGGGTGATGAAAATTTAAATCCTTACAAGGCAAACTACAGTTTCAGTATGACACAGTATAATTTTTCAGAGCAGGCAACCGAAGCAGCCACAACTGCCATCCATGTGCAAGTGCAGAGATGAGATTATGCCAATGGAACATAAGCAGTGTTGAGCAAATGACTGTCACCCACGGCTGCACCCATGCTTGCAGGTATAATTCGCAGCTATGTAACAAATGTCCAGAGATCAGGCAAATGCAGAGCCTGGGTATCCTTAGGAATCCTGCAACACTCTCCACTTCAACAACCCTCCTCCAAGATCAAAATGACACAATATTGCCATTTTATTCTGCCTTAAGCCCCAAGTTAAAAAAATTAATCAAAACAAACTCTCAAATTTACACATCTTACACCTCATCTTGCATGGGGCACACAATCCTGCTTTGAGTAGTTGACTGGATAAGCTCCCTTCCAACCTTACTTTCCCATGAACCTAAAAGGGAGAAACACTAGGGACTCTCTAACGCCTAACAGGGACTTTATTAATGCTGTTTTATATGGAAGATGCTCAGATGCCAAAATAAACAAACAGAGGGAGATGGGGCCAGGTCTTTGACTTCTATTCCCTGTGCATTCTGAGACTGCTTCAACTAGACTGCCAATCCCCGGAAGCACCAAACATAAGAGAGGTGGAAGTGGGGGAAGAAAGGTACTTATATCCCCCCAGTAAGTATACTTGTTTTGAAGTCTTGGCACCTGGGCTAATGTCTAGGCATGGGTTCTGCCATGCCCTCTGCTGCACCATGCCCTGCCCTGACAGCATCCTAACACAATGGGCTTCCCCAACACTGTGCGCTGTGCCATGCTGCTCTGCTCTGCCACATGTCCTCCCCTCCTTCCCTCACCATGGGACTGAAAATAAAAGCCAGAGGGAGGGGAACCTGGAGCCTCTGGAAAATGGTAGCTGGGTGGAAGCCCTGGGGTGGGGAGAACAAATGAAGCCCTCATGGGCTGCCAGTTGGACAGCTCTGACATAGATTAATGGATTAATATATCTAAACCAGATGGAAATGTAGTGGGGAATTGGGTGCCTAAATAATTTAGGCTTTTTTGGACACCTTAATACAAACATAGCCTTTTGTTGCACAAATGCAGCCACAGACAAGTTCTGCACACACAAGAAATAGTTGTGCACAAACAATATAACATATTTTTGTGCCCGTCACTTCCTCATTGATGAGTGCTATGATGATCTGTTGACTGATATTACAATGTACTGGAAAAACAGTACTTCTATGTGATTCTTGAGTTTCATTCTTGCTTATTAGGGGAGGAATTATGTACATGGTTATGTTTATAAAACCTGTAGCACCCTCTTTTTTGTTTTATCTTATTATTCAGCACTGGGAGGACTGATTAAAACAACAAACCACAAAAGTTCATATAAGTCTGCATTCCAAACACAGAATATCCACGCTGAAAAGAATGCTACAGTTTTGGCCTAAAGGACCAGACCGGGAACAACCTTTTCAACTTCTGTGCAGTTTTCAAGTTGGCTGTTGCACCATTTAGACGAAAGAAATGCTGCCATCTGCTGTTCCCAAATGTCTATTGCATGGTTGAAATCTGACTAGCAAAAGATCTCCAGTACTTGTATTTGGTATAGAATAATATATAATTTGTTTTTGTCCTTCCCCCTATAGCGTCTGCATACTCCTGGCCAAGCAGAGATAAGGCCGTGGACAAGTCAGCCAGCAGAGGCCATAACTGGGACTTTGGTAGCTCTTTCTCTCTCCCTTGTACCCACATAGAAAGCATAGAGAAGTAGAGCTGAAAGGGACCTCCAGAGGTCATCTGATCCAGTGGTCTCAAACTTTTTTGTACCAGGACCCATTTGTAAACATTGATGGGCAGTCCCAACCCAATAAACAATTTTAGCAGAAAACAGTCCTGGCACTACCAGTGCCCCTCATTCCCACCCACAGCTCTGCACCCCTGCTGCTGCCCCTCACTCCTGCCCCCCTGCCCCCAGGCCTCATCCCCCCAGTGTGTGGGTCAGCGGTTGTATGGGGGGTGGGGCATGGGGGAGCACATGCCCTCCAGATTTGTGTACCCATAGCGGGCATGGGGCTGCAACCTAGCTGGACTGGTAGGAGCCACCTCCATGGCCTAATGGGCAGGACTTAATGCAGGAGGGCGGAGCAGGCCAGTGAGACTCATTGCTGCCACCACTGCTGGGACCCCCATGCCAATAAACAGTTTTAGTAGAAAACAATCCTGGCCCTACCAGGCAAGGAATTTCTCTTGTGTTGAGACTGCTTTGTGACCCTGCAAATTTGGCTCACAAGAAAAGGCTGGAGCAAGGGTGTCAGCTTTCAGGTCTCAAGGTTTTGAATTTCACTTCCTTTCAGGTCTCAAGGTGTTGAATCAAAAGGAAGCAAAATTCAAATTCCTTGCCCAAGACAGCCTTCCATTACCATCCTCCTGTGAAATATTAAACATCATAACAAGAGAGAAGCATAATTCAACATCCTACTTGCCATCAGACAACTCTGAGGTAAACAGACTGCTCTGACTTTTATCTGAGCCTATTTTGCATAAAATGAACTTTTCCAGCTAGGAGATCTTACACCATCTTCCAGCTCTCCTGTGAAATGTGAATTTTCATTTCCACTTCGGAGAAATTTTACAATCTTTGCACTCTCCTATGCCTAAGGAAGGGTGTGTATGCCTGAAAGCTTGCAAATAAAGAATTTTTTTGCAACTATCTAGTAGGTTTAATAAAAGATATCACCTTCCCAAGAGTTCTGAAATATAAATTCAATATTTCTGTCAATTCCTAGCTCTTCCAATCTTGCTGCCCCCAGGAATGCTCTGCAGCCTGTCTGTTTGGTAAACACGCCCTAGCCAAGATCACATACATTTCCTGCTATCAAGTTCTTTTTGGAGACATTAGCACAGCAATTATTAATATTAACTGTATTGGAGTAGCACCTAGAAATCCCAGGATCCCACTGATCTCTGCTGTGCTTTCATATAGACACAGAATTAAAAGATGGTCTCCAGTCCAAAGAATTTACTGTAATTATAATCAGACTCAAGGGAAAAGTATTTTTGCTACTGAGGGCTCTCTCATTACACATTTTACTGCCCTTCTCTTTCTGTGCTCTCTTTTCATCACCCTTAAAAATGAACCCTAATAAAAATTGGGCAATATTTCTGTGAATGCATTGGAGAAAATCAGACTTCTCAGTTCAGGAAATGCAATCTGTCTGTTGAGTGCTCATCTCTAGCATATGACAGTTGTTTTGTTTTAAATACATCCCCATCTACAATTAAGGCAAACTTTATTGACTTCTACTAGTATGTGCAAACTACATTTTGGATGAAGAAGCAAGATTCCTAATGCTTGTGTCACACAAAATTAAAAAGCGAGAAGCCTCAATCTGGATGACTGCTGCAGAAGGACATAGCTGAAACCCCTCAGCATATGAATACGTCATGCAAGACTGGTAGCCAAAAAGTCTTTGAAGTACTCTATGCTGTTACTTTGTGATTATTTAAAATGTTACTAAGCTGTCTATTAATGTTATGATATTACTTGCTGCATTGCCTTTTAGATGCATACCTACCCGATGTAATCCATTCTTTCCATAGCCAGGAAGAGAAGCAGATTTGGAATATGGGAATCCTGAAAAAGATGCAATGTATACAGAGATTTTTAGCAAGCCTCTTTACATTGGATTCATATGTACAAGTACAAAGGACAAGAAAACAAACAGAAAAACCTCTGAGATATATTTAAATTGCAGGACACGTTACAGCTATGTGTGGCTTTTGTTACTGCTACAGGAGATTTTTTTTTTAAGATATAGAGCTATACCTGTAAATCATATTATGTCAGGATGTGATCATGTTAGACCTCATAAGGCTTTCTCTGGGAAGAGACTCTGGAAGATATGTATGTTGAGGAAAATATCTAAGGAATAACAGGATACTAGTGCTGCATCTGAAAATTGTGAAAGCTTGGACAGTGTCTCTTGTACAAAATTACAAGTCAGCAGCTGGAGCAAGACTGGGATGTGGTAACAAGCCTGCCACAAAGAAAATCAAACTCCGCTAGTGGCTTGCAATCCATTAGGTCTATGAGACAGTGGAGCCTTGCAGTACTCAATGCCAGACCCACACCATAAGATAATAACAGTCATAATAACAGTCCTTGACCTTCTACCACACCTGAGCCTAAAAAAAATAAGTGATATTTAAAAGTATTGGCAGAGACCTGACCCACTCATTACATAAATGTAACAAGACTCCAAGAGCAAGCCAGAAAACCAAGTGAATTGGGGAGAAACCCACAAACTACATCTAACTCTCAATTGAGCCAAGTGTCACTCACTAAAGAAAAGAAGTAAAATATCCACTTCAAAGCAAAGCCTGTAAGAGACAAGAAAAGTCAAGGTGCATTGAAAACATGTCTGTAAATATATCCTGTAAATATATCCTGGTTAACACATTCCCGCTTTAACACCTATTTCTAAAGCAAACATCCAATATCTGTCTAAAGTTTTATGCTAAATCTATCTATGTGACTGCATCTAACCTACCTCATACCTACTGTATGATCCTCACTGCCTCACATTTGCATTTATTAATTAAGGCATATTTCTCAAATAGGCAGTCAATTTCTAAATATTTATTATGCTAAACCAGTGTGTATTCTCCTGAAACTCACACTTATTGCATCCAATGGACTCTGATCTTCACTATCTCCATAAGCCATTTGATGCAGGTATTTATTGGGCTCCATTGTTAAAATAACTACTGAAAAATAGTATTTTGTGGTTATCTTCCTAAAGGTACCTCATTCAATCAATACCCATCCTATATGATTCCAAACTGATCAAAAGCTTGCAAACTTCACAAAAGACACAAACAGGATACAATTGGAATATGTTAACTCTGGCCTTGCCTGCTTTGTTGGGACTTTGATTAACCAGCTATCAAGAAGGAATGCTTTGAAGCTATAAAATTAAAACAGTATAAACAGCAAGACAGAACTGCCAGCAAGGTGTGTGCAGTCCAGGGAAGATCAAGAAGCCATCCTGCACCACCCAGCACATGAGTGAAGCATCCACACTGTGAGGCTGTACAAGAACTGCTTCCTGCCTGCATTGGGTAAAGTTCTCTTTGCAGCTAAGATAACACAGGGATTAACAGCTCATTTTATATTGGGAAAGTGTCTTTTTCTGTCATTTAGTTTTGTAACTTGTTGGTAGTTATTAAAGCAAGCCTTTCTGCTATTCATCAACCGAGTGTTATGTCAATCCATAAAGCACTAGGTTAAAAATTTGGTTTCTAAGTGCAACACCAGAGGATTCAGGCAGCGGTAATCTTTCTTTTTAGCTGCTGAGCCACTACCCAAGGGTGATATTAAATGTGCCATCACTTCAGAGGTTCTGTCTAACTGTGTTCAGGACAGTCTTCATAAAGACAGGGAGAACTCCATGCTGTGTTATCAAATTTCCCTCCATTGTCAAATGGCAACGGTATTTTCCATTTCTCATCTTACCATTGCTATGAGCTAGTACATAGTTACCTCATTTCTTCCTCAAATAACTGCATTTCAATCATGAATCCTTTACTTTTTCATGTCCTTGTGACAAAGTATTAGATGAAATTATCTTTGTCTGCTGTTCAGGTTTTCTAGCATTATTACAGATGCTGCAAACACCTTAAACACTTGTTTCCAATTCTTATAGAATCAATCTAAATAATGGGCCAGACTTGTAGGAAGTAGAAATCTGAAATCCTTCTATTCAATGGACTTTTGTCAATTTACACTAGATAACCTGGTCCTATATGTTTACAGAAAAGATAATTAAGAAAGGTCATGATAAAGGTAGAGGAAAAAATGAATGATGCACAGAAAAACTGTAACCAAGCATCACTCTGGTGTGAGACTGCCAGAACATCAATGAAACTAAGGCAGCTAAAAATGATAAGAGAAAAAAGGTGTGTGAACTCCCTTTGGAACTCATTGCCACAAGATTTCACTGAGGCCAAAAGCTTTGGAGGATGTCAAAAAGGTATAGGCATTTCAATGAATAATGAGGAAGCCAATGGTTCTATTAGATGGGGAAGTAAATCCTTACGTAATATCCTCATTAACTGAGTTGTCTAGAAAAAAGATTATGAGCAAGATATTCTATAAATTGTCAAAACCAGGAATTCTTTCACCTTCTTCTGAGGAATATGACACTGATTTACTGTTTGTGACAGGAGAATGAACTATATAGATTGCCTATCTGATCCAATATGGAATACTCTGTTCTTAAAGAAACAAGGATATAATTTATTATTGCTTATTATTTGCTTTGCAACAGCACCTGCAGGTCTGTAACAGGGAACCCTAGCCCTGTCACCAGAAAGCAGGTCCACCCCTTTCAGGCCAGAACTTTATGGCCATGGAGTGCTGGTAAGGAAGGGGTTAAATGCCAAGGCTGGCCAGCTAGTCAGCTGACCGGAAGGGGCAGGACTATAAAAACTCTGGGCAGAACAGGAGCCGAAGGGGAAGGCCTGCCTCTGAGAGCTCCACAGAGGACCTGGGTGAGTGGTCCAAAGGTGGGAACTAGGGAAGCTGTGGGGAGACGGCAGCCGCAGCACATCAAGGACTGTAGCCAACAGAAGGGAGCTGAGGCATGAGCCCTGAGAATGTAAGCTGACTTGCCACTTTCATATTGGTTATTATTTTTTCCTTTTTTTTTTGATTATTGAATAAGACCGGCAGTTTGGGTGAGGCTATTAGGGGAAGGAGGAGGCCTCATTTTGGGGACCCACTACAGAGTGGGGACCCTGGCGCCAGCGAGGGAATGGCTTTTGGGGGGTGCACAGACCCCAGCACCAGCGAGGGTGTGGTTTTGGGCCGGGGGGCCAGGCTCCAGACTGGAGCAGGAAAGGGGGCCACGAGCCTCAAGACACCGGAAAAGGCTACAGCCTCTGAGTCAAACCCTGTTTAGTGGGTTTAGATGGGAAGGCCTAGCTAGAGAAAAAAACAGGGGTCAGGCCTACGTAGGTGAAAGGCCCTAACATACACAATACAATCAGCAGTCTCCCGCTCACGAGAACATCATCATAATAATTTTCCATCAAGACGTGGCAGGCGAGTATAGGGTGGGACATAAGAGCTCCAAAGAAGGCTCCAAGGGCACCCTACATAAAGTGCGGATTACCAGGGAAGATGGCACTGGGGAGGGTGACTTACTACAGGGTCCCAATCTGGGATTAGGGATTTGTTGTGTAGAACATATCTCTAAAATGAAGTTATGCTCTCTGCTTCTGCCTCTCAATCATAGAAAGGATGGTGCCAGAGGTGCACTGGCACCAGGTGCCCTCACAGTACCCCGGGAGTCAGTGGGGGCAATAAAAACATCTGGCACCAACAGCCAAGTGATCCCAGCTGTGATCACAGTGTTAACTGGAAGTCACTGCTGCCCCATGCACTGGGTGCGCAACTGCATCCTATGCTGTTGCTGTCAGATAAATTAATTTGGAACATTGCTGGGAAACAGATTCCTTGGTCCTAGCCCTCTCTGTTACATGGAGCAATGATGGAGAGTATATGACTTGTATAGCTAGGTATATCCCATAATACTTGGACCTAACTGCAACTATAAAAAGACAGAACAAAGTAGCAACAATCATGGGGTATAAAATCCTGCATTTGCATGATTTAGGAATGCAGGAATTGCAGTTTCAAAAGCCATTCATAGCTTTTCTAGGGTACTGGAGAATTCACTGAGGTAATTTCAGAGCCATTGGCTACACACTGAGAACTCATGGAAGTCAGATGATGTCTTGATGACTGGAAAAGGGCAAGTGCAGTGACAACTTTTAAGAGGGGAGAAGAGGATTTGGGGAACTACAGACCAGTCAGCCTGACTTCAATACCTGGAAGGATCATGGAGCTGCTCCTCAAGGAATCCATTGTTAAGCACTAGAGGAGAAAAAGGTAATCAGGAACTTCCTGCCTAGATTCACAAACAGGAAGTCATGCCTGACCAACCTGATTTCCTTCTATAAGGTGACATGCTCTGCAGATGAGAGGAGAGCAGTGGCTGTGATATACCTTGACTTTAGCAAGGTTTTTGCCCCGGTCTCCAATAACGTTGTATCATAATAAGGTAAGGAAATACAGACTAGATGAAAGTACTGTAAGGTGGAAACATAACTGATTGTTTCATTGTGCTTAATGAGTAGGCTTTAATGGCTTATTTGTTATTTGGGAGGAGGTATTAAGTGAAGTTCCCCAAGGGTCTGTCCTGGGCCGGGTATTGTTTAATGATTCAGATCATGGAGTTGAGTGCATGCTGAGCAAACCTGTAGACAATACCAAGTTGGGTGGAGTTGTTGTAGACACTCCAGAGGGTAGGGTTTGGATCCAGAATAAGCTGGTTAAATTGGAGAAATGGTCCATGATCAATCAGATATGCTTCAACAAGGACAAGTGAAAGGTCCCGCACTCAGGACAAAATAACTGCATGCACAAATACAGACTGGCGAGTGACTGCCTCACTACTGCAGAAGAGGAGCTAGGAGTTACAGTAGATCGTAAGCTGAATGTGAGCCAACAGTGAGCTCTTCTTGCCAAGACAGCCAACAGCATACTGGGTTGTCATAACAGGAGTGTCT